ACGGGCATGGCCGCGTGCCAGCAAAACTTCATGTATTATGGGTACTGAAGTTTGAGTTTCAAATAATTTTCACGTGTCACACGGTAGTAGTAGTCTTTTGATTTTTTTTTTTCCCCAAGCATTTAAAGATACAAAAACTAAACTTGTGTCCACAAAAAACACAGGCCCTGATTTGCTGATCCCCGTTCTCAGCAGTCTTCCAGCTAGAGAGCTACAGCGGTGACCCGAACAGAGTCCCTGTCCCCACCGGGCCCTGTGTTCCCGTACAGCGCAGGACTTTGTAAGTGCCACGGGTCCGGTAGCTGACAGGTGTTGCCTTTCTTAGAGGAGTCTTCCTCATCGGACAGTTCCAGCTTTAGTGTTTGCACTCACCTGACCTGAAAGTGAATTTGGGGGGAAGCCTGGGTGGCTCAGTCGGTTAACTGCCTTCGGCTAAGGTCATGATCTTGGGGTCCTGGGATCGAGCCCCACGTTGGGCTCCCTGCTCAGTGGGGAGCCTGCTTCTCCCTCTCCCTCTGCCCCTCCCCCCTCCCCGGCTTGTGCTCTCTCTCGCTCTCTCTCTCAAATGATCTATAAAGTGAATTTGACACATAAATGTGCTAACGAGTAACATCCTCGCTGTGAGGTATTTTTTCTAGATCGTGTCGTCTGCCGGCCCCCGTTTTTGTGCCCCGCGAACGCCGCCTCGTCTCACTTGTGCCAGGCCACCGGGTTCGGTGCTGGGCCTGCGTCGTTCTGAAGCGAGGGCCGAGGCTGCGGGCCCTGGAGCGGCCTTCACCTTCCCAGGCACAGCAGTACTGAGCTGTTCGTCTCCACTGTCCTCTTTGCCTGTTTCCAGACACCAGAGTGCTCTGCCGAGGAGCCGGCCGGCCCTGTGGCGTCCCCGCTCCAGAGTGCTGATGACAGGGCTCTTTCAAGGTAGTTTGTAGCCCACAGGCTCACGCCTTGTGTGTATGGTAGCTATGGAAACTTCAGAAGCCGTCTCTCCAAAGCTAAGCACACAATAAAGCACTTCACGTGTTGGTAGGATTAGACTTTAGAAGATGTTTAATGTTCTCCCCCACTCTTTCTTTCCGTCTGTCTCTTTAGAGAGGGAACAAGAGGGCAATGTGAATATTAACTGGGACTCGCTTTAATCTCCCTAGTGACACTCGGGGCTGGCGCGGGGCTGCCCGGGGCTCTGGGCTTTCACAGCCGCTAACAAGGACAGCCATGCATATTCATGAGCCAGGCTCGTGCGTGAGACCCCGTTTGTAAGGGCTGTGTTTCAGTGTTTCTCTTTTCAAACCAAGTTTTATGAAAGAAACACCACTGAATTTGGTTTTTTAATTATTATTAAGCCAGAGACCCTAGTCGGTAATGCAAAAATGTTCTCACTGGAAATGGGGACAAAGTCGAGCTTGTCTGTGTGGCACTTAATTTATAGCCAGACAACACAGCCCTGAGTGTGGGAGCTCACTGGAGGTGGAGACGCAGAGCACGCCTTTTGTATTTGCCCAGAAAAAGTGTGTGGCGGAACGCCGTGTTCCGACTCCACGAAATCCTCCTCTTTTAAAGAGGAAGTACTACCATTTCCCTTATATAAGAATGTGAAACATGCATTTAAGGGAAGAGGGTGGGGGGCTTGCCGTCCAGTTATTTCTCATCTTCAGGGTGTGCACAGGGCTGGCTCCAGTGTGTGGCCGTGCTTCTCCCAACCCCTCCACTCCCTCCGCACACTCCCTCCGGCCCTGTGAACGCCAGTTTTGGAAAAAGACAAAAATGCCTTTTCTGCTTTGGGCTTTACTGCGTCTTCTGTTAGGTTGTCCATTTGGTGGCTGTGCCGGGCATCCGTCCCTCGAGAAGTCCACAGCTGTTGCGTTTTGTTCCTGGCGTGGTGCTGGCCACCTGTCGGGAACCTTCACCGCTCCCGTTCTCCCCTGTGCTCCTCTCTCCCTGGATGTAAACTGGGCGGCGTGTCGGGGTTTAGTTTCCAAGTGCGTTGAGGGTGAAGTGCCGCAGAGCTCCCGTGGCAGGATTTTCACAAAATGCGCCCATTGCCTTGGCACGATGAGCGTGATTGAGATCTGCCCTCTCATCTGCCCACACGGTGGGAATTCTCCTGGGGTCTGTTGACATGGGCCCTTTGTGGACACGGTGCACGCAGCTTTCTTGCCTGGCTTGCATTTATACGGGTTTCCTTTCATCTCATCCCTCCACCCTGCCAAGCCCTGAGTCAGGAAACCACCCCGAGAACAAGCAGGAAAAGCAGAGCTCGTGAGGCTCACTGCGGTGTCACCACGGCCCCACCCACGGGCTGAGTGGGACATAGCGCTGCCGGGGTCAGACGTCCAGCGGACCTCGCCCGGCGCCGTTCGCGGGGTGTTCAGGCGGACACACAGACACAGTCAGCGCTCCTGTAGCGTCCACAGCCCGCTTGGTGTCAGGGGCCAGACTGGCTGCTGGGGGTGCACAGATGGACTCGGGGCGGCTCCCGCCCTCACGAGGCTCACAGACAGGTGAGTACGGCGCAGCAGGCTGGGCCAAGGGCTGCTAGAGAGCGCGCGGCAGACCCGCGCTGGGCGCACCTGACCCACACCGTCCGGAGGCAGGGCCCGGCGTGGCGACGTGGCTGGAGCCCAGATGCGAAGGGCGCCTGGCAGGAGAGGTACGCAGCGGCCCTTGGCAGGGGTCTTGTTTGCCCTGTAACAGTTTGATCAGTGCAGCTCTGGAAGGTGGCTCACTCTCCAGAGACACCCTGCCTTTCGTCTGGCAGCACCAAGCTGACGCCGGATTCCTCCATTACTGGGCCCCCCCCACCCCCCCTCCCGTTTCCAGGAGCTCTCATGGGCCATAGAGGGGAGTTTCGGGTTTCCTGCTTTCAGTCACATTTCAGTGAATTACCAGGAAGCTTTGGAAAGAAGTGCTTTGCTCCTGTCGTTAGCATTCAGGAATTCTACACGTGAGCTAAAATTCTTCAGTCTTCTGTCTTTTCTTGCCTACATTTACCCTTCAGTTGTTTGCTCCTTCAGTCAGATGTCCAGACACCGCCTCCCCCTTTTCGTACAGAGCGAGGAAATGCATTTGTAGAGTGATGTCATTCTGGATGAGAAATCACTTGCAGCATACGATTCACGGTTCAGAAATTCACTAACACGTTAGAAGTGTTTGTCATCTAGGATCCTCACTTTTATTCTCTATACTGGCGTAGAGTGGGGCTTCGGTGATTGTGGAAAAGGGGGAGAAAGTCACAATTAGGCTTTGTGCATTTGAGCATTTGTAGGGATTCTATCTCCAGAAAGAAAATACAGCCCTTATAAAGGTACTGGGCTTTATCATCGAAGGATGACGGGTAAATGGCAGAAGGACATTCTCCCACCAAATTATAGAATCAGCATCAGCTGGGCATCAACCGTTCCTATTCTGTGCCATCTGGAACAGGTTGGTCATTTATACTCACAAGTGGTTTTGATGGTAAACCTCCAGAGACCAGTGGGTCATTCACTCAGCAAACATCTGCTCATCCTCTTCTTGGGGCCCATGGCCCCAGCCGGCAGGGGCCGGGAGAGGCCGGGAAAGGCAGGGCCAGCGTGGACCGTCTGTGATCAGGGGCCATGAGGAGCTCGAAGGCCTTGTCAGGATTGTGAACCAGCGTGGGTGTGTCGGAGGGACTGGGATGGAGTAACCTTTTAAAACCCCAGAAGATCTGTCCTGAACGTAAAACGGCCATGTTTACTGCATCTCACTTGGCTGACTTCAGTGGACAGGCTCATTTTTTACTACCTTGCTCTGAGGTTACTGAACTAGGGAAGCAGTTTGATTCACATTCTTTCTCAGACTCTACAAGAAAGAGCCACAGGCTTTATGCATATTGCAGCCTTTCTCTGTGGCCTCCTGCGTCCAGCTGAGGGAGCTAGAAAGGTCTCAGCGCTGGCCTCCCCGCTGTGCTGGGAGCTAGGACAGGGTCAGAAGCGTTGACCCTTCAGGCTGAAGAGGCTGTTACGTTCTGGGGACACAGATGCCCCCATTCTGACATCAGAAATGCCTGCACCAGAAACACCCTGCAGTTGGGGGGAAAGAGCTTGTTTTTCTTGCCAAATTCCATCCGATTGTGGGCAGGGAGGCCTTGCTTTATTGGAGAAAGCATTTACTCCCCCCTAGGTGTTTCGTTATTCCCTCCGGACTAACAGAAGGTGCCGGGCCCACTGTTCCGGGCATTGCCTACACGTCCCTGGATCCATGGGTTGGTACCCCTGGCAGTTTCTCTACGGTCTTTTCTAGAACAACATAGAGCAGCAGTTTAATGCTTTCCTGAGATTTACACAGTTCTTGGTCACTGAATAAAAGACCTCAGTAAATAATACAGCGATTCTGTCTTCTGTCTGCTGTGAAGGATGCTATGCTGAACGTGCAGAATGGGGGTGGGGGCACAGCAAGGCCAGAGGACGAGATGCTTTCTTGAGAGCACAAGTATGCAAACTAAGGACAGCAAATCCTTCAAAGGCTTTCTAGCTCCATCTTTAAAATGCGGCCGAATGAGGGAAATTCCATGATGACTCCTAGGAGACAGTTCTTATTTATAACTGAGCTGGCTTTAAACAAGATGAGTCTCTTGTCTGCTTCTAACTTGGGCATCTTTGTGACTAACGCTGTTGTGCTCTTATTCTTTCTCTGGTGGCTCAATAACATGGTTATCTAAGTGTGTGTGTGTGTGTGTGTGCACGCGCGTGTGCGTGCGATCATAGAGTTCAGATGTTTCCCTGCTCATTCGTTCATCAAATCTTGATTAAGTACCTCCATGTGCTGGACATCACACACGTACACACATGTGGGACATACATGTACAATGCATGTGTTGCAGCTTTCTCGTTACTTCCCTCTTTGGATGCATATTCATATAGAACATGCTCTGTGAGAACTTGTTCGCTGATGCTGTGTTCCTGCCCTCCCTTTCCAATAACGCTCATGTGAACTCCCGAAACGGGGAAGTACATTGGCAGATTCCTTCACTCGGCCTCCAGTTCTGACCCAGTGGGTGGTGTACGCCATCCGCAACCTTACCGAAGACAATAGTCAGAACCAAGATCTGATTGCGAAGATGGAGGAACAGGGACTGGCGGACGCATCCCTACTTAAAAAGATGGGCTTTGAAGTTGAGAAGAGGGGTGACAAGCTGATTCTGAAACCTACTAGTGACCCACCTCCGCTGGTGAGTGTGCCAGAGCAAGCCCCTCTGGGTCCAGCCTCCCCGTTCCCTCGGCCTGTGACAGGGTTCCTTCCTGAGAACATGGCTGGGCGCACTTTGCCTTCTAAAATGGCCAAGAAAGCCCGAAATTTAATTGCCAATAATTTTGGGTTTTTTGTTCAGGCTTTATGCTGCCATTGTCTTAAAAGTTCAAACTCATTTTAGGGGAGAAATATAAAAGTCGTATCAGAATTTTTACATGGTCTGAAGTTTCTAGATTTTCTAGTGGAGAGATGGCTAATGTTGGCTACTATGAAAAGAGCAGGAAGCTCCCTATATAATAATAGTGAGTGTTTCAGGTTTCTCTCTCAGCTCTTGACCAAAATTCTCTTGTGTTTTTCCCCCCCTTGGATGACTCTTATAAATAGATCTGTTACATCTGCCATTTTGTTTCTTTTTCCTTAGTGAATGAACTCTCCATCGAAATATCTGAATTTTTGGAATCTGTTTCCTGGATTTTCGTCTTCTGCAGTATGTGAAATTGCAAGTGTTTGAAGATTTATTAAGTGCAAATTCAGGAACACATGAATCCTTTAGATAATAGAGTTTAATGTGGATAAGCTCAAAAGTGAAAGTACATGAGTATTCTGTTGTTTCTTTGCTTTAGAAACTGTCTGGTTTGCCTTTGTCCCCATGGATACAGTGTGCATTTAAGTAATATATTGTACTTACTGTGGCAACAGATAATAAATTCTTCTCCTCGAGGGTGCATCCCTTATTTGGCAAAGACTGGAGCATTTGATTGGATTCCATTTGTTCCTTCAGATGGCAAATCAGCCTGATTCCTTTTCTTCTCTGCTTGTTGGGTTTTCTGCACTCTGCCAGGCAGTTGAAGTAGTTTCTCACTGTGATTAATTCTAGCAATCTCTTTTCACCCTTTCTGCCTTTCCAAAACATTGACAAGACTCATTTCCAGCTAATTAATTCGAGAGATGCTGAAGAATAGAGAAGCTCCATCTTCATTTTAGGGACTGGGCTGTGCTGTCACTGAGCCCGCCCTTTGGAACGTTGTCGTTGCAGGGAGTGAGCGGAGCGGGGAGAGCTTGCAGGCCATTAACTCTTCTCTTTCCAAATCACCTGGGAAGAGACCTCCCGGACCATTGTGCTCCCAGGGGGATGCCTGCCTCTGACCCACTTTTCGTACCTCTGTGAAGGGGGCTCTGTGCACAGGACCACAGGGTTAAAGAGCGTCCGTGTCTTGTTCACTTTCAAAGGCACGGTCTCCCAAAGCACGCCACCCCAGTTCTGGCCACGGCTCCACTTTCCGGAATTGCAAAAGTAGCTTTGGGGAGCGAGAGCAAATTTGACCTGTATCTTTCTATTTCCATCTTTCTCTCTCTCTCTCTCTCTCCCTATATATATATACATATATTAGAGCTGGAGCATTAAAACGAGCACTGAAATTTCAGATCATTGATGTAACCAAAAAAGCTCTAGAAGGGAGGTCATGTATGAACATTCCTGAACAGCCAGTTATTAAAAGCTATCTAGAGATTTTGCACAGTTCTTGTTGCATCTTCCAAAATAAAAACAACAAAGATTCAGCCAGAAGTGTTACAGAAATACTGATTGTTCCAGAGTAAAGTGCTTTTAAGTTTTTTTGGTAGCCATACTTAAATTGCTTTTGTAAAAACAGCTTAAGCATATTCAGAATGAAATGAAAGTTGTCCCCCTTGCTAATGTACTCTGTATCTCCGAAGAAACTCAGCTTCTAGAATTGTGGTAATCTGTGAATAACATTTTTTTTCTCTCTCATTTATGACATTCCATCAGTAAAGAAGCCTTTGCAAAATTTAAAATGCACAAAGAAGTCGTTCTTTCCTGGGACACAAGGAGTTAACATCCTGTCCTCTAAATAGAGGGCCCGCCAAAGGAAAAAAAAACAGTGGGAGTCCCTTTTTCCTTTTAACAAGTTTGCAATAGACACTTCTTTTTCTTCTTCTCTCAATGGATGTATGCACACCAGTGGAATCAAACAAACATGTCGGTATAAGCCATATAATAACAAACACAAATAAACAAAAGGGAGCCTTGTGTGGGAACACAGAACGGGGTAATGGCTGTGTGTTTTCTAACTAGGAAATGTGGGGCTTGCATAGTGAAAACAGGCTGACAGCTGCATTGTGGCTGCTTGGACGCCCTGGATGGCTAATCCTCCAGCACAACCAACAGCTTCCCTGTCCTCCCTCCACCACTTGGCCATTCTGAGAGCCTCGTTCTACATGCTTGCTGCAGAGGATTAAATCACCATCTCAATCAGGCATTTAGAAGAAGAAGAAAGGCAGGCAGGCTAGCCTTACAGCATTTGTAAAGGGACAGAATGGTCGCAGCAAGTTTTGTGACCATATTATCTTCCAAGAGCAAACTAACAAAGCTGTTCGATTTTTTAGCCTGTTCCGTTATCAAAGAAAGTGGGGGAAGGCTTTTCTGCTTGATACTGAGTCCAAGTATTTGCAGAGTGATTTTGTTTAATGCGTTAACAATGCATGTTAATGTTTCAAAACTACTTGCACGATTTTAGTAATATGCTATTATAATTTGTCCGTATTTTTTATATATGTATATGTCCACATGAATGCACCTCGTAGGGTTGTTTGTGAGGTTTTTTTAGAAGCTAATATTAAGATACGTTTTTGTTCAGTAACTTCTGAATCTAGCCACAGAGCTTGGAAACTACTAAAAATGCCCATTTTGCAAAATGAAATACAGAGAAGTGATTGTGGTCATTTGGGCTACAATTAGTACATTTTAAGTCAAATGGGCACAAGATATATATATATATCTTGTGCCCATTAATATATCTCATGCCCATTACCTACTGAAGGCATCAATATCCTGTTCTTTTACCAACACCTGGAATTGAAATGTTATTTAAATGTCATCACTATCCCTTCATTTCCATCCTTGAATGAATAAACAAAGACATTGTAATAGAAATGCCAGTCTCTGCAGGAGGAAGACTTTAAAGTACATGTTCCATCATCAGTAAGTTCTGCACATAGGAACCAGTTTTTACATGAGAGTCAATAAAATTGAGACAGAATTGTAAAATGCAGAGAAGTTGAGGAAGAACCCTACCACTCAAAGTCTGAAACAAACCCAGTCCTTTGGAAGGTGGTGGCGGGGAGAAAGGGCACTTTGGGCGCTGTCCACGGTCCTGATAATTCTAGGCCCAGTGGCCTGTATATGAAAATCAATTAAAAACCTTGTTTTCAAAATTCACATTTTTCCCCTTGCGTTTGTATGATATAATATCTATTTTTCTTTTCCATACAAATTTTTATATACTTATTTGGTTTCTTTTTTACATCAAATCATGTTTAGATGATATTTTACAATATGAATTTAATTTACCATTTATAACCTACATGAATTTTAAAGGTAAGTTTTTTTCTGTAAATGTAGTGGTGTTAGTATTAACTCATTCATCAGACTTTCCTCATCACAGCCAGTTATGTCAGTGGAAATGACTTTTTGAAGGTTTTGATCATTGTTTATTGTTGCTCCAATTAAAACCTTAAATTAGAAACAGCACATTAAATGTTTCTTCTTGTTTAAACAACATCAAATACGTTCATTTATGCACAGTGTGTCCTGCTCGTTTTGCATGAGTTCAGTGAGAACTTCCGTGGTATTTTTTGCACGGGTGTAATTTTTGCTGCCGCCGTGTAAAGCACGGTGCTCAAAAGGCACAAACAAGTGAGTGCGTGTGGGTTATGGGTCCCTGTCTCTTGCCCGTGTAACTGGGCAGACTCCGTAAGCTCTGCGTCTCCATTTGCTCAACCAGTAAAATGGCACTCATGGTACCACCGACCCACAGGAGTGTCTGAGGGTAAAAATTAACGAACACGCTGACAGTATCTTTTACGTGGTGAGCATTCAATCCTCCCAGCACTCTTCTTGCTTGACGTGCATCTTCGGGCCCTTTGCACCTTCACCGTGAGTATTTCTGATAGAAACACATGGAAACTGCACCTTGCCTCCCGCTGCCCCCGTCTCCACAGTGCTGGACACGCAGGAGGTGCTCACCAGATGTAGTGTATGTGGTCGGCAGATCCTTGTGGGATGCCTTCTGTGTGCCAGTGTTCTCAGCACTTCGAGAATATTCATCATTTAATCTTCAGAGCAATGATACGGTGTGTTCTAGGGTTAATCCCATTTTGTGGATGAGGAAGTTGAGTTGCAGGGGTGACCGCCCAGGGCCACACAGCAGGTAATGCGTAATGATTAATTGCTGTAGTTAATTAGAAGGGAATGAGTGAGGAGGAAAATATGGCTTCTTTCCCAGAAGCATGGAAAGTAAATCTAGCAGAAATGCCTGGACTGTGGCTCAGGATGTAGAGCAAGGGGAGCTCCATGGGAAGAACGTGAGCTTTGCAGTTAGAAAAACCCGAGTTTAAATCTCAACTCCACATAAATTGCTTAACTGCTCAGGGCCTACATCTCCTCAAGCAGTGTACCAGGCCAGCACTGGGGGTCCAGCAGTAAAGAAGGCAGACACGGTCTGTGCTCTCGTGAAGCTTCAGTTCTGATGAGAATGACAGAAAATTAACAAGTAAACAGATCAGAACAAGGGCATCACATACTGCAGTGAATGCCGTGAAGAAAAGGTGATGATACAGATGGTAAGCTGGGTGCCCTTTCTGAGATGATCGCATCTGACCTGTGCGGAGAGCTGGGGCGGAGCACTCACCGTGAGACAGCACCAAGCACAAAAGCCCCAGGATGGCAAGCTTCACATGGTGGCCAGGCCAGTGAGGCCAATGCCTGGTGACCGGGTAGAGGTGGCATGAGGGAGACTTGGTCAGAGGGGTAAACAGGAGTCCAATCATGCAAGGTCTTCGAGGCCAAGGGAACTTGAGTCTTACTTGAAATGTGTTGGGAGGGTACTAAGTGGCATCCAGCATAGGAATGAGAAGATCCACTTCACGTTTTTCAGTGACCACTCTTGCTGCTGTGTAGAAAATGAATTGCAGCGGAAAAAGAACAGAAGCAGAGACATAATTTATGGAGCTACCGAAGATGGTGATTTAGACACGTGTGAGTCAGTGGCTGTGGAGAGACAGGTTTACATTTGATTTATGTGTTGGAATTCATAGGTCTTGCTGATGGATTGTTGAGGATGGGCTAGATGAAGTAAACAAGAATAACTCCTAAAATTTTGTTGAGCAACTGGGTAGATGATTATATGCTCCCCAAAGTGGAAAAGTTTGATGCGAAGGGGCAGAGAGAATCGAGATTCTCTTTGGGGCAAATTAGAGTTTGAGATGCTTTTGAGACCTCCCAATGGAGATGACTTTGAAAAGCAATTACGTATGCGAGCCTGGAGCTCAGAAGACCGGTCAGTGCTGGAAATACATGTTTGGAGCTCAGTAGATGATAATTTGAAGCAATGGAGTTAAATGAGATTGTCTAGTGCAGGGCTGTATATAGAGAAGAGGGCCAACTACAACCTGTAGCCCACATTTTAAGCCTGCATATAAGCCTGCACTTAACATTATAGCTTAAGATATTTCCATATGCTAAAAGCTCCTCCTAAGAAGAGTTTCAGTGGCTGCATCATCAAGATATTCCATAGGAGGCTTAACCATTCTCTTGTTATTAGGCATTTTGTATTGTTTTTCATCATTATAAATATCGTCGTGAACGTCTTGGTGCATAGAGCTTCATTTGCATCTTAGGATGCATACTATGGGAGGTCAAGGAAGGAAGATATGGTTGGGGAGC